GGGGATTAAAACTCAACTACATAAATTAAGAATTTAAAAAAAAACTAACGGAAGAAAATTGTTGTTTCCTCTCAGCTTCAATCCATACCAGCGATGACTCTTATTTGTGGATGCAACAGCAGGGATGATTCGTTTAACCACACCTGAAAGAAAAGCATGAACATCTTAGAATTACAGGCTATAAGAAAGCACTCTTGAAGTTTCTCAGCTATATCAGTGAGCTGGCTTTACCTTGAGTGAGTCTGTAGGTGACACCAGTGATATTAAACTCAGCTGCTCTCTTTAAAGACTCCTGGAACACCCACTGATCGTGCTCTGGGTTATCACCATAAAGACACACAACAATCACACGGCAATGTAGAGCCATTCAATTCACCGTCAAAAATGTCAGGGTCATATAAACTCTTATAAAACAAATGTATATACAGTATATATAGCTTACACACCTCCAAAGGGTTTGTCTTTGGGCCACTGCAGCACTCTAACATACTCTATGCAGTGCTCTGGTAGCCGTGGCATTGAGGCAATAGTGCACATTGGGAAAGTGATCTGAAGAGAACACAGACGAAAGCAGACAGTCACTTCATCTCAGGACTACGAGTGATGTATAATTGTATGGTCACAGCAAACCCTTCATTTACAGTGATGAATGGAATTAACAGCATATGAGGGTGAGACTACAGTACTTGTAGTGGGTAAAGCTCCAGTGTGCAGTCTATACAGGCTGTCATTCCTGGCAGGATGACTCTTGCATTCCCCTACGTGCTCTGGGTTATCACCATAAAGACACACAACAATCACAAGGCAATGTAGAGCCATTCAATTCACCGTCAAAAATGTCAGGGTCATATAAACTCTTATAAAACAAATGTATATACAGTATATATAGCTTACACACCTCCAAAGGGTTTGTCTTTGGGCCACTGCAGCACTCTAACATACTCTATGCAGTGCTCTGGTAGCCGTGGCATTGAGGCAATAGTGCACATTGGGAAAGTGATCTGAAGAGAACACAGACGAAAGCAGACAGTCACTTCATCTCAGGACTACGAGTGATGTATAATTGTATGGTCACAGCAAACCCTTCATTTACAGTGATGAATGGAATTAACAGCATATGAGGGTGAGACTACAGTACTTGTAGTGGGTAAAGCTCCAGTGTGCAGTCTATACAGGCTGTCATTCCTGGCAGGATGACTCTTGCATTCCCCTTAAAGCCCTCTGTCCCTCCATCTATCAGAGGAATGATAGAGCTGGGATCCAAAACTCCATCTTCATAAGAGAGCAGGGACAACTGAAGAGAAACCACACCAACTACAGTTAAACCAAAACACAGTGACACTGTCAGGGCTTATAGCTACTGTGGCAGACATTATATGATGGTAGTGAGGCCAGCAGGGGGTGCTCACCCTGTGGTCTGTGTGGGTCCTAACGCCCTAGTATAGTGATGGGGAGACTATACTGTAAAAAGCACCGTCCTTCGGATGAGATGTTAAACCGAGGTCCTGACTCTCTGTGGTCATTAAAAATCCCATGGCACTTCTTGTAAAGAGTAGGGCTGTATCCCCGGTGTCCTGAACAAATTGCCCCCCTGGCCTTTGTCAATCATGGCCTCCTAATAATCCCCAACCACTTGATTGGCTCTATGACTCTCTCTCCTCTCCACCTGTATCTGGTGTGTGGTGAGCGCACTGGCGCCGCTGTCCTGTGGCTGCCGTCGCGTCATCCAAGTGGATGCTGCACACTGGTGGTGGTTGAGGAGAGACCCCCTCACATGATTGTAAAGGGCTTTGGGTGTACAACAATACACAATAAAGTGTTATATTCATGATAGTAAGGTAATGAATTTACTATAATGCTGCATATTCCTTTTCACTTAATAAAAAATGTAATATTTTAATACTGGAAGTGTCAAAGCTGCACTAGACTAGTCAGATGTGAGCCCAAGCAGAGGCTTAAGTAAAATAAAATCCACAAAGAAAAATAAGTATTTGCAATGAAATTTCATTGGTAAAAAAAAATAGGTTACACTTTATTTTAAGGTGTCCTTGTTACAGTGTAATTATACATTTAAATACTGAGTAATATTAATTAACTACATGTACTTACTATATGGTTAGGGTTAGGATTAGGGTTTGGCTTAGGGTTACTTGCATGTAATTATGTATAATTTATTGTTATTATAATAGTAAGTACATGTAACGTGTAACAAGGACACCTTAAAATAAAGTGTTACCAAAAATTACTGAGTTATAAGTTATTTTACAACAGCAAAACTATTTTACACATAATTTTAATATTATTACAAGTACTTTTACAGCATTATGTGAAACTCCTGATCACCCTTTCGGGGTTTATTTCGCAATAAAGACCTGCTAGCTACACATCATTCCTCTTATTGCACAAATTAAGTATTTAAGAAATTTGAATTTAATTTATTTTAACGAAATAAAATAAAATTCAGAGTAAAAATTTAAAATACAATATTTGTTATGTTCAGTAGTAAGAATGTAATTGCAGAGCTCTCTAATTCAGTTAGGGTTCAAAAAACACATTATTTTCCACATACTGTACATTATTGTTTCTCATCGGTTTGAAAAGCGAGGTGTGCTGTAATTGGCCAGCTATCCAGTGCGTTGTAATTGGCCCGAATACCTCAAGCGTGTGACGGAAATGTTACGCCCCTACCGGCTACCATACTATGATGCCCTGTCTGGCCGGAGCAACGAGACAAAAACATTAAAACCCATTATAAACGAGGCATTTGTTGCATCCAGTGGGGACATAATTCCGGATTATAATGACTTATACTGTCTTTTTACGCATTGCATCGCGCGTAAACATAAAACCATGTCTGCATTTGTGATCGGAGAAATGACAAACTACAAACGCTACTCTACACTGCTCAAAACTCATGTTTGAATCATCAGTGGCAAATTCTTTATATATAAAAAACGTACTTACAGTCTGTGAGTCAGAACAGCCGGCATTGTAGTCTACTCTCCCAGGATCAGGAAACAGTCCTCCATAAAATGTGCTGCACACATCTGAATATTTCAGTTGAACTGTTCTGGAACAGTGTTGTAAATACAACGTAACCACTGATTTCTAGTCGTGTCCTCTTTTGGAAGGCCAAACAAAGTAGTTTCGCTTTCACAACGAAACACACAGCGTCACACACGGCAGCCTTGAGTGAGCGGAGGCCAGCAGGCTAGAGTGACGGAGACCGGTGGATAGAGTGAGCCGGCGGCCGGCGGATTCGACGAAGGATCGGCTCTAGGCATGACGAAGCGGATATCGTCCTCTTTTGGAAGACCAAACAAAGTAGTTTCGCTTTCACAACGAAACACACAACTTCACGACATGGTGGCAGCAACAATACTACAGCGAGAATAAAAGTTACGCCTTCTTTCTTTGCGTGAACATTTGGGCGGCGTTATGCAAATCTTCCCACATCGTGACGTAGATATGTGGGAGCGTGTTAGAACAAGTCGTTTTAGGTAGGTGTGGCTGACTCTTAACTTTTATAAAGAATATCTCTTTGGAGTTGAGACTTTAGTCTTTGCAACTTTACAAATCTTCTTCATGAACCAAGAGCTTGTAACACTTCAAAGAGAAAGGAAAAATTGAAATCGCATCATATGAAAAGTATCGCAAGATCTCCTAACCGAAGGTCACATGATCACAAACGGAAATCACTTCCGTGACTGACCATCGCATGTTCCCTTCGCTAAAGGACTTCTGGAAGCGCCCTTCGTGAAGAGAGTTTTTTTTCAGAGATTTGTTTGTTTTTTTCCCTTGTTTCAGGCCCAGATTTTTCAATGTTAAAAATCGAAAAACCCATTCCAGTTAATAAAATGTTTTAACCATTAAAACTACGGTAATCTTAACATGTGAAAACATTAGCCATTTATATTAGCCAATATTGATCGTGAAAATATTTTATATAAGATTATTTGTTTTAATCTTTCAGATGTGCTTTCAGACATATATATCTATATATATATTGAATATATAATGCACTTATATGGAAACAAACATAAGTTATATCAAGATGAATATTGAACTATGATGTATTACATTTTATGATTATTGTATTGCGTGTGTTAGATGGAAGATTGTTTGATTTTAATTTAAAGTTCCAGATTAATGTTTACAAGAACTGCAAACCCAGAAACATGGGTTTGAAAAATAACATAATTTCTTACACAATAAGACACAGTCTATATTAGACACAATTCTGTTTATGCCATAGATAGATACAGCGGACACTTATGTGTCATCAGAAAAGAAGTCTGAGTCCTGACCTTGAGTCTGCATGTCGATCTCACGCATCTTAGCCAGTAGCTGCTCTTTGCGCTGAAGTTCCTCTTCAGGACGCCCTTGATTGCCAGCCTGCCTCTCTACATTTCTTGCTTTAAGTTGTTCCTCTTCCTGTTCACGCTGCCTCCTGCTCTCTTCCTCCCTTTGAGATATAGACAGGCCAATCCTCCAATCTTCTTCCTCTCTGTCCAGGCCTATTTTAAAACAAAATCACTGCAGATGTGAACATGCATTACAACAAGTATTTTTTGGTGTCAAAGTTTTGGGTCAGTAAAGTCTTTTTTTTTTTTTTGGAAAGAAATTTATGGAAGAAAAATTATTTCTTCTGACCTCATCTGCTTGCCTGTATAGTTTGCATCATCACTAAGGTGTATCATAATGCAGATTTTTAAATTATCCTTCATTTTTATTCACTCGTCTTCAAAACTGATTTCATTTCACACAGAATGTCAAAGCTAATTTATGACCAGAAAAACAACCCCATTCATAACTATGTTTATTGTTACAAATTATAACCAGGATAAATCAACTGAATAATAAAAATAAAAATACTATAAGAAAAATAAATATAAGTTCAACACCCTTAAGAACTTTATTATATTTTAATTACATCATCATAGGACACATTTGATCATAATCATTTTTAATTATCAAAAGATTTTTATTTTTCATTTTAATTCTCTGCAAAATATCCAAATAATTTCATGCTTATCCTTTGCTAGATTTTCAAATACCATCAAAGTGCTAAACCTTCATTGGTTCAATATGAATCTACCAGTGAGGAGAAGCATTTTCACACAGTCTCAGTGGCAATGGCTTAAAGTGCTTTCCTTTTATCTGTAAGAAAATGCTTTTTGTACCCTGACCCCTCTGACAAGCACTTCTCATCTTTAACCAATTTCCAGCACTGTGAAACTAGCCTGGTGTTTGACCCAGATTATAAGCATTTATTACTGAACTAATAAACATGAAAATCTGGAAGAAATTAGGCAATGTTCACACTGTATGTGTGTTTTAATAACATGGCTAAGGAGCAAGTCAAATGTCTCTGAAATAAAACAGCACTACACACCTGTTGCCTGCAACAATTGCAATACAAAACATTTCTCAGCAATCTCAGTTTGCTTAACCCCCTTTAAATCAGAATTAATGTGCCCAAGTGTCTTTTACTCTGGTGATATTGTAAACACCCCTAAAAGTTTAATATGTTTATTACACTGATTGAATGAGTCTAGCTTCACTATCTCATAGTAATAACATTATCTGACTAAACTGGATTTGGAAATAGTTCAAATAAAATGATCTAATCGATTGATTAACCATCTTTCTATGTGAATGAGTGGGTTGTAAAGGACTGTTGCTGAGTGCGGTCATCCAATCCTGGTTTGCGGGCATCTTGCGTTCTTCAGACTCCCATCCCACTTTTACTCATAAAAGATTCCTGGCTGGCAGGCCAGGCAGTAGCTAATCAGTTAGCAACTATTCGACAGCAGGCTTAACCAGGTCAATCCGGCCTGTGGATACTTCAACATTTTCTACCCACACAGACCGCAACGCGTTGTGCAAACAGATGCTCTAGATCGCACACAATTTGGGCCTCTTTAGTGCAGTTTGCATTGCATTCGGGTAGTTTCGCACAGCTCCGTGCTACAGAAAGCGCTTTCCAGCAGCAGCAGACACCTGGATCTCAGCTGCAAAAAGCTAGCACTGCAAGCCAGCACATTGGTTTTCAAATAAAACTGCAGTTTGGAATAGCAAAAGACTCTCAACCTGTGTGCAGAATGGCGAGACCTACAAGGTAAGCGCGTTTTGTTCGTCTCCTGCTCTACAGCAATAGCAGGTTCGCACATGATGCGATCTGTATGTGGGTCTCTCCATGTTTGCTAAGTGGCTAACCAGCGTTTTTTCTGCGCGTGGTTAAATTGCAATCCAAAACAGCTGAAATCACACATAAACACGTAGATTTCCATCTCTTTATACGTGTATAGATTTATTTTCATTGGAAACATGGCTAACGTTACATCGGTTTCTGCATCCACAGACGCACGTATGCTAACCGCAAGCGGATAAAAAGCGGGATAGTAACGTTAGTTCACGCTGGTGGCTAGTTAATGTTATGCAGAAACAACCAGCTAGCCATTATCGCCCAGAAAATAAAAACATGCGCTTTACGATTACCTCGTCGTGTAGCGAGAGTGTGGTGTACTACTAAGGTATTGCGGTGGATTTCCACAGTTGCGTTAGTCCCGTGAGCATTAGTGTTAGTTTAGCAGCGCGCGTGTGTTTGAGCAGCGCAA